ATATATATATATATATATATATATATATATATATATATATTTCAAGCACTCAATTCATTTTTTTAGTACTTATTTGTTAGGCATTGGCAAGGGAGACAGCTGTTCAAATGGTAAAACCTGCTCCTGGGGAGCTTTACAATTTAGGCAAATATCTAATTAATCTATTAAGTAGATTAATTAATGTTTATTCTACCCGTATTCAGAAGAAACAAGGTATCCTAGAAATTATATATAGATGGATAACTTAGTCATAAATGGTTTTTCAACTAATTTTTTCTTACCTGCCCTCACCCCCAATGCCATGACTCTGGATGTATCTCACCAAGCAAGCATTTCAGGAACAGTATTTTATAAAAGCATAAAATTCAAAAAAGAAAACTCTGGTGTCAGAATCAGCTAAAGAATGCAAAGCTTCCTTAACAGGGTCCCAGTTTCCATTACAACCTTCCACAGAATCCTTAAGAAAGGCAAAGAGGAGTACAGACAGTTATTATAGAAAGATCGTTTTTATTTTTCTATGTCTCTAAAGATATTTCTTTAGTTAATATTCCCTCATATATGAGGCTGATTTTAAAATTATGTATAATTTTTCATTACATAATAAAACAACTATAGGAATAAATTATGCAATTAACTTTGGGAGGTATAAACCACCCAAATCATATAATTTAATGGGCAAGGCAGATCTATTTATTACCATTTGTATTTTGTTTTTTTTAATTTAAAGTATGAGTCTTCTCCATGGAGGCATATTATAAAATGAATCACTTATAAACAACAATACCTTTAAAACAATATCTTTTAGAGCTAGTTGTAGTGAGAGTGTACTAACCTTAATTGAGGGACAAACAAGAACAATAAATAAGAGAAAATTTATGTTACAATTTGAAAAATGCCTTTGAAAAGTATTAAAATAAGAATTTTATGAATTTCACATTTTATTATATCATATGAAGATGATAATCCTAAAAATACAAATTGATTCTGTACGTTCAGAAGTATTTTAAATCTGCTGAGTTCTTTGTAACTTCCTGTGTATGTAAGTTGACAGCAGTTGTGAAAAATTTTAACCATCACTATTGTAGCACAATTTCTTGGATGAAAAAAATTAAGACAGATATATGATTTTGGGGTAGGCTTTACATATGCAAAATCTAAATATTTTCTCTTTTAATACATGATTATATATCTTTTAACAGTAAGTATATTTTTGTATAAGCCAATAAGCTGGACTTTCCAGGACAGTTAAAATGTTACACATCTATGGCATTGTCAGTCCATGTGTCAAACCATGTGTCTAAAATTTGGGTTCAGAAATTTTTTCAATTGCCACAAATGTTTTCCCAGTCAAGATAAAACACTTTCAAATGAAAGTAGTTAGAACTTTACATAACAAATGTGGTGCTTTATTATATTATTATTGTTATTATTATTATTATTATTATTACTATTATGTACTTCAGTATTTATTTAAACTACTGCTGCAATTCTATATCATAAAAATCTAGGATGGATGTTGCAGCCATCATAAGGTCAAAAGAGAAAGTGTTATTTTCCTGTTAGTGACATGTAGCCCCTTTGTTCCAGTAGAAAAAAAGGTGCCTAGAGGTAATAGACACAGTAAATATCATTCCATTAGCCTACTTCTTGCAGTTGCCAATTTATCAAAGGAAATACCTAAAACAATTTTGTTAAAAGTTTATGCTTTTGTCAATAGCAGAAGTCTACATTATTAGGCTGATTTTGCTTACATCGACAAGAGAAATGTCACATGATACTCAGGCCAAGCTTTCTCTTCTCTCATAACATCTTCAAGGAATGTCAATAAACTCACTTTGGTATGGCATTGTGTATGCTTCTTATTGCAAACAGAAGTCTAGGATAATGCATAATAATTTGTATCATGCCTATGCTCTTATTGCATATAAGCAAGAAAACAACAAAGAAGGCTACCACCTGCTTCGATAAACAATCCATGGAAAAATTATTTATCAAGAAAGCATAGCATGTGCTCAAAAATCCATAAATAAAGAAGAGCTTTTTTAACAAGTTCCTTGTGTATGCCTGTTAGAACTGCACATAAACCACATGGGCTTCATTTAGTAAGTGTCCTTTATGTTAAACCAGGCATACCTGGGCTTATTGAATTCGTACCTGTTGAGATGCTTTTACAAAAGCTTCAAGCCACAACCTAACACCCTGTGTGACACTAGGACAAGGGTTAGCAGTAGGCAAAATATTGTGTCCAATAGCATATATGATAACTCCCAATATTGCAATGGTATTACCCCTGTCCTTCTCTTGATCCTATCCACAATTATTTTCTAATAATAAAATTTAGAGGCTTGAAAGAAGGTAATATCAGAAAAAAAGTGCAGGTAGAATTGAGAAGAAAAATCTGAGAAGTATTGATATTGTATTTTTGTACACATGCTGAGTTTACTTTAGACTCATTCTAACTGAAACTAACTCTTTTCTTGAGGTACAAGGAAAAATTAGCCTAGACCATAATTTGCAGAAAGCAGATGACATTATCTTGTGTTTTAATCTAAGCATTATTCTGAAATCAAGGTTAGATTTCAGTTCTTCTGATATTTTTGGCCATACTTTTCCAATACACTTGCTGACAACTCATTAATTATATACTGTTAAAAAATGACACATGTAGCTTATATTCAAGATGTGGTTAAAATAAGTTTAAAGAAAGTTCACTAAAGAATAAATGAAGAGTTATGGCATGTAAGTTTAACCTTTATCAGTGCTGCAGGAATCATCACATTTATAGCTGGGAAGAGACACTTAAGTACTTTGACTAGTTTATATTGGAAACTAGGAATCTGAGACCAGGAGAGCTGATTTGCTCAAAGCCACTAAGCTTTATCTTGTGTGCTAAAGGTATGCCATGTCTCAAAATATTTCTTGGGGTCCTGGGCTCCTGAGCCTGGCATAACCATTAGGAAATTTTCCAGGATTGCAGGAAAGATGGAAGCCAATATGGATCTGGCATATCACAGGGGATGCCATGAATCCACAACTAATGGACTGCTTACTACCATGCTCCCTCTGTATGAGTTTGCTGGGGCTGCTGTAATGAAAGACCACAAACTGGGGGGCTTAAACAAGGCTAGAAGTCCAAGGTCAAGATGATGGTTGGGTTGGTTACTTCTGAGGGCTATGAGAGAAAATTTGTTCCATTCCTCTCCCCTAAGTTCCATTGGTTCAATGGCAATCTTTGGTATTTCTTAACTTGTAGATATCTGCCTTCATCTTCACCTGATGTGTGTGCCTGTGATTCCTTTTTATAAGGACACTAGTTGTATTGGATTAGGGCCCATCCTATGACCTCAGTTTAGCTTGATTACCACTGTAAAGATGCTAGCTCCAAATGAAGTCACATTCTGAGGTACTGGGAGCTAGGACTCCATCATATATTCTTTGAGAGACACAATTAATCTATACCATCCCCCTTCTGGCCATATTAATAACTGTCATTAGCCCCAAAAGTAATAGTAATAATAATAAAAGCCAACTTATATTTACAACCACACTAGTAAGCTTAAACTTACTAAAGACTTTTAATAGCTATAATAATAATCATGGAAAAAATAAAAATGTTCCTTATGAATTACTATTATTTAAAATAGTTTAATATAGTAAATTAATAATTAATATTGTGGTATCTGTTTAACAGGTTAATGAAAGTGACTGTGATCACAATAAGTTTTTTCACTACTCAAAAAAACAACACAATGTTTTTCCTGTATCAGCTACTTTTCCATCCCCATTTTAAGCTGAAAAAACTAAAAGAGAGAAGTTAATTTACTTGCCCAAAGTAAGAAGTACAGCCAAGATTTGAACAAGGAGGCTGGTTCCAGGGCCCAAGCACTCAGCCACCATTCAACCATTTGTTAAATGCTTACTGCATTCTGGGTCCTGTGCAAGGCTCTGGGGGCAATGGTAGTTTTTGCCCTCAGCAAGTTAATGATGTAGAAATACAATAATACATTCTTATCCTTCATTTGAGATTTGGCCTCTATTTTTAATATGAGTTTCCCCACTAACACCTGCACCCTGCCCTGGCTCCTGAGTACAATATAGTGTCATTAAAAATGTAATTAATTAGCAAGATGTTATAGGGCAAGGAAACAGGAGCCATTGGCTTCACTGGAGAAGAAAGATGGACAAGAATGTGTTCATGTAGAGACAGTATTTGAGCCTGTATAAAATTGGGAAGAATAAGTTAGATTTACCAGCATGAAGAAAACATTTTATTCTTCCTGAAACAGTAAACAGAGAAGGGAGTAGAAGAATAAATCAGCCTAGGAACCTTCATATCTTTAAGACCTGTGAGAAAAAAAAGGGTAGTTCAACTTCTCTTACTTAATCAGTAACCAAGAGAAAACAATGAGCCTCCTTAAAATTTCTTACCAAGGAATAAACCACTGGTATAGTCATGTATATTTTCTACAGTTGCAAAACTAAAGTTCAATGACTATAAAAAATAGTGCCTTTTCTTTCTACATCTTGATAAACATTCACCTCAAGGGCCAGCTGAGTGGCGCATTGGTTAAGAGCTGGCTTGGGATGCCAGAGGGCTCCGGTTCGGATCCC